TTGGTGATCCTCTACCCATCTTGGCTTCTGAGAGACACTGGCACTCTGAGAAGCTCTTTTTATACCCAATCATGTTGCCAATTAACCTAATTCGTGTTAATTGGTCTTCCAGCTCTTCGTTATGCTCAAATTTACTTTTTCCACCCTCTTATTGCTACTTGTCCCAACTTTTTTGGGATTTGTTGACACTGAAATTTTGAATCAAGATATTTTTCCTTTCAAATGATACATTTTCTCAGATTGAACTTTTGATCTGTCATCTATGGTCTATTCTGAATAAAATATTGACATTTGCCATCTCCACATCATTGCATTCAGTTTTTATTCACAATTTGTTTGGTGTCCCAACTTTTTTGGAATCTGGTTTGTATATACACTCAACAAAAATATAAACGCAACACCTTTGTTACTGCTCCCATTCCCCATGGGATGGACGTAGAGACCTAAAATTCATTCCAGATACACAATATAACCATCCCTCCCAAACAGTGGTCACAAATCAGTCCAAATGTGTGGTAGTGGGCACATCTGCTATATTGAGATAATCCATCCCACCTCACAGGTGTGCCACATCAGGATGCTGATCTGACATAATAATAATAATAATAATAAACTTTATTTATAAAGCACACTTAAAAACCAAGGGTATGCCAAGGTGCTTAACAAGTAAAATAGAGTATAGGAGGAGGATAATAGAAATAGGACCAAAGCAAGTACTAAATATGCAAACAGATAACTGTCACTAATACATAGGAAAGCAACAGGTACAGAGCAAACAAGAATTTAAATGAGCATAGAAGTGCATGATATAAAATCATAAAAGAAATATTAACTAGAGGGAAAGGCAAGATTGAATAAGTGGGTTTTTAATCGTGATTTGAACAGTGCAATGGAGTCAGATGCGCGGAGGTCGAGAGGAAGGGTATTCCACAGTACCGGGGCAGCCAGAGCAAACGCACGGTCACCCCGGGACTTCAGTCGAGATCTGGGTTGGGTCAGAAGTAGTTGAGTGGCAGATCTGAGTGTTCTAGCAGGAGTATGTGGTTTGAGAAGTTCACTAAGATAACTTGGCGCTAATTTATTAATAGTTTTGAAAGTAAGGAGTAATATTTTAAATTGAATACGGTACTTTATGGGCAGCCAATGCAGGCTAGCTAGGACAGGGGTAATATGGCAAAATTTCCTGGTACCAGTCAAAAGGCGGGCTGCTGCATTTTGGACTGTTTGCAGTTTAAGAAGAAGAGAAGAGGGAAGACTATAGTACAAGGAGTTACAATAATCCAACCTGGAGGTCACAAAAGCGTGAATAAGCTTCTCCAGGTCCTCATGCGGAATATAATGCCTAGCCTTAGAGATAAGGCGCAGTTGGTGGAAGCTAGATCTCACTACAGCAGACACTTGCTTATCGAGTTTGAGCGAGCTATCCAGCAGTACACCCAAGTTACTGACATAGTCACAAGAAAAACTAGCAAAGGAACCCAGGGCAGCACAGAGTTGGGCACGAGGGATTTTACTGTTGAACACCACAATCTCAGTCTTCTTATCATTTAAAACGAGGGAATTACTCAGGAACCATTCTTTGACCTCCCGCATGCATTCTTGAAAGTAGTGCAGGGACACCTGTGCACTACATCATGAGTAGTGCACAGGTGTACCTCAGACTGCCCACAACAAAAGGCCACCCTGGAATGTGCAGTTTTTTGCGCTATTGGGGGTCTGGGGACCCAGAACCGGTCAGTATCTGGTGTGACCACCATTTGCCTCATGCAGTGCAACACATCGTCGCATGGAGTCTATCAGATTGTCAATTGTGGCCTGTGGAATGTTGGTCCACTCCACTTCAATGGCTGTGCGAGGTTGTTGGATATTCGTGGGAACTGGTACACGCTGTCGTATACGCCGGTCAAGCACATCCCGAACATGCTCAATGGGTGACATGTCCGGTGAGTATGCTGGCCATGCAAGAACTGGGACATTCTCAGCTGCCATCTGCCCTGAACAATGTGAACCATGATTCATCCGTGAAGCGCACACCTCTCCAACGTGCCAGACGCCATCGAATGTGAGCATTTGCCCACACAAGTCTGTTACGGCGACGAGCTGGAGTCAGGTCAAGACCCCGATGAGGACGACGGGCATGCAGTTGAGCGTCCCTGAGACGGTTTCTGACAGTTTGTGCAGAAATTGTTTGGTTGTGCAAACCAATTGTTCCTGCAGCTGTCTGGGTGGCTGGTCTCAGACGATCTTGGAGGTGAACCTGCTGGATGTGGAGGTCCTGGGCTGGTGTGGTTACACGAGGTCTGCGGTTGTGAGGCCGGTTGGATGTGCTGCCATATTCTCTGAAACGCCTGTGGAGACGGCTTATGGTTGAGAAATGAACATTCAATGCACGGGCGACAGATCTGGTTGACATTCCTGCTGTCAGCATGCCAATTGCACGCTCCCTCATTGCTTGTGGCATCTGTGGCATTTTGCTGTGAGACAAAACTGCACATTCCAGGGTGGCCTTTTGTTGTGGGCAGTCTGAGGTACACCTGTGCACTACTCATGATGTCAGATCAGCATCCTGATGTGGCACACCTGTGAGGTGGGATGGATTATCTCAATATAGCAGATGTGCCCACTACCACACATTTGGACTGATTTGTGACCACTGTTTGGGAGGGATGGTTATATTGTGTATCTGGAATGAATTTTAGGTCTCTACGTCCATCCCATGGGGAATGGGAACAGTAACAAAGGTGTTGCGTTTATATTTTTGTTGAGTGTATCATGACAGACAACATGTGCACAAGTGCTGGGTTTTCTTAGTTATATTTTTTAGGGTCTTAAACCTACACTCTGAAGTGCCTTAGCATTTATTTTGTTGGCACCATTCAAATAAACTGAATTGTTATGAATAGAATATCAAGCCCCACACTTCTGCCTTTATATACACTTTGTCCAAAAATACTGGCTCACACCACCAAATCAACGCACAAAGCAGGGTCCACAAGGACATGGATGAGCATGTGTGGTGTGAAGGAACTTTACTGTCCTGCACTGAACCCTGACCTTGCTTTGTGGGCTGAGTTCATTGATTTGTAGGGTGAGCCAATACATGTGACAAAGTGTAAGTAGCTGAAATCATTTTTAACAAACGGGTAAAAGAAGGAAAAAAAACTGTTGCAATTAAAAAACCTATTGGACAGAGACAGCTTCTTGTAAGATGGTGAGAGAGCTTGTCTTCATTGTTGGAGGTACATTTTATTCTATCTTCAGGGTTTATCCTTAAAAACCTTAAAGCATGCCATAATAAATAGTAACACACAGTAGCATTGAGTTGTGATGTGAAATAATGAGTTACTCAGAGATTATTTATTCATCATCTATCACTATTAGCTAACTGTTCAAACATACCTCTGAATTAGTTCCAATATTGCACACGCTGACTACTGGTATTCCAGGTTCAATACATAGAGGGAACCAAAGAAGACTGACATCGCATCAGCAAAGGTGTTCTCTTTGTCCAGCTCAACAATTACAAGCCCCTCTGCACTCACCATCCAGCAGGTGGCAGTCATTGAACTTTGTCCTTAAATTTATAGGGGCAACATTGTCATTATGCAACATAAAATAACTCCAATACTTCACTTCTTCACACTGTATAGATAATCGTAAAGCAAATAGCTATGTACAGTTAATTATTAATGGCCTTATGTACATAAGTTAACATATTATGATTGTACATAATTGGGAATTATTCTGCATATTAAACACACCTAACAAAGAGTCACCCCAATTAAATTACCGGAGTTGCATCAGCTGTATGGTTATTTTGGAGTTTATAGTTGGTGCTGCTGTTAAACTTTACAGTATTGAATTCAGTATTTCTGCTGTTGGTGTAGCTAGACTACCATGTTGATCAGTAATATGTAATGTGAAATTTGATGGTTACTTTGCTGGATTCACTGAGACACATGTCCAACAACCTTTGTTTATAAAGGAAATTAGAGAGATGAGAGCTAACAAAACAGAGTCTGGATACCTGTCTCCACGAAAAGCTCCTGTGCCAAACAGAAATTGTAATATTGTCTAATCAGCTATATTTCATAAATGACTTTTTACCAAGCATAACAAGCCTTGGCGTCATTGGCAGGTTGCCCTCTGCCCCAAGAGACATCCTGGTAGATGTTTCCTGCCAGATGTTTCCTATCAGAAAAAGGACCAAGACATTTTATGTAACAACCCCCATGACATGACATTACAGCTCTTTATGTCATGTTCAGGTCCCCTCCCTTAGTTCAGTATATATTCAGTGACAGGGCAGCACACTTTAAAGCCCACTGGAGTCGTCATAGGTTGGAAACATCAAGGTATGATTGTATTTTATAGTTTATTTATGTAACTGAAATGACATTTTCTCCCCGTATTGCATGTACGGTAGCTTTTAAATTATTTTTTCTTTAACTTAATTTGAAAATGTTCATTATTTTTCATTGGCTTTTTATTCATTACTACATAATAACTTTTACTCTGAAATCTGTGTAAATATAAATCACAGGATGAAAAAGCACAAGTAAAATAGAGTTTTATTGTCAACCCAACAATATACACTCAAGTATACAGTGGGATGAAATATCGTCCTCTGGATCAAAGGTGCAAACTGTAAAAATTAAAATTAAAATATACATATATACAACTATAAAGAAATAAGATAAAATAAGAACAGTATTGTACTTGAATGTAACGCACTGGAAACATCTGCATATTGTTTGTAAAGTAGAGTTTTTGTTAAAGATTCCAATGATTATTTATATTATTAACATATTTTATTAAAATAAAAACCTTTTAAAATCCTTATAAATGATTGAACCTGTTCTGAAAAAAACTACTTAATTACTTACTTTGTAATTATCTCAAACCACACAGTTTTAGTATGTTTGCAGTACTCTAATCAAAATTAACTGAATCAGCTAAATTAACAAATGCTGTTCCTTTTTTTCTTTTTTTTAAAATAGATCTGTCATGAATTCATTGCTGGTCATAGCGCTGCTGCCTTTGGCTCTTTTAGGGCCAGGTATGGCCTTTGTCTCTATTGGGGGTGGAGCATCCACTCATGTCAGCATTACAGGAACGGCTATATTGCAGAAAGTGCGAGAGACGTGTCAGGCGGTGGCTGAGAAAAATGGTTATGAGTTCAACCCCACGGTAGGTATACAATATGTACAAAATAGCATAAACTTAGTCGCCTGCCACAGATAAAAACATTAACACTTAAACACAAAGTCAGATCCATTTTAATGTGGATGTTTGTCTGGATAAGCTTTAAAAGCAAATAAGAAACCCACAGAATAAATGTACCCATTTATTGTCCTTTTTATGATTGTATTAAACTTAATACCAAGGCTTGTGTGTGTGTGTGTGTTTAATAGAACTTATAGGCTTTTTAACAATTTGAGCTTTCTTTTTCTGACAAATGCAGTTCCCCTCATAAAGTAAAATGTATTTTGTACTCACCTTTTCATTTTTAACAGGAATATTTTTTTGAACTTCATAACTTTACCCTTTAGGGTTCCTCTCCTGAAGAGCTGGTGCAAGCCTGTCTAGGTCCCACAGCAACAGGAGAGGTGTCTGGTGCCAAATTTCATTCTGCTCTTCAAGAGATCTACGCCCAGAATGGGTTGGTAGATCGCGACTTTGTCAACAGGTAAAGCAAAATCGTGGAATAACAACCTATGGAATAATTAAATTACATTTTTACAAATGGTAAGGCAAGGATCTCACTTATATGTTAAAAAAATCTTTTAGTGCTCCACATCACTTCAACTCTGAGGCTTTCTTGGAGGGGCGGAGCCTAATCACACAGGGCATGGTGGCCATTAAAGCTAACGTTCACAATGAGAATTTTCAGGTTGCAAGGACAACACTGGGTAGAGCCCTTCACACACTACAGGTGAGAGGGGTGCAACAAAACACCAGGGCATAAATGAATTAACTTAAAAAGGTATTGGAACAGCCATACAATCAGAAATTTAAGTATGGAGGTTATATGAGGTTTGTGTAACATGTGTTTCTCTGCACTCTCAGGACTTTTACAGCCACAGTAACTGGGTTGAGCTGGGGTACACAAAGCCATACAGCAACCTCATAAACCCAGGCCTCCCTCTGGATAACCTGGCAGGTAAGTGTGGATTATCACCACTATTATGAACCCAACCCATTCCCTTGGGATGGGTAAAGTGCCATAAAAAGATAACATCCATGCTTTTTTCTTTTCTCGAGAGAATATGTGTAGACCAAATATCAGAGACTGAAGTCTTGCTAAGGACATGACAGTGGCTGATTATCATTGGCTGGTCATTACGTTTCATTTTCAGACCACTGCATTCATAAAACAACTCCAAACAGTGTACATAAATAATGAATTAAAGAGATGAGTTGCTTAGAGTCTCACTAGTTGTTAAAAGATATCTGGATATTTATCAAGCAATCGTCTCCTACAGTAATCCTGTTTTGTGTGTGTGTGTGTGTGTGTGTGTGTGTGTGTGTGTGTGTGTGTGTGTGTGTGTGTGTGTGTAGATGTGAACACCCCCACCTGCAGTAACTGTGACAGTGCCAGTGGAACATGCCCCAATCAGCTGCTCCCCAACATCCTAAAAGACAAGAAACTCACATCTGGCTATATGGGAGTCTTTTCTTCTGTCAAACCTAAAGGTATCATTTCACACACATAGATAAATTACATTCAAGTTGAGAAGGCAGTGCGTACTCGAAGCAGTTAACACTACAATCTGAGCATTTTGCAGATGCCCAAACAATGTCTACAATGCCTGTGTAGGTTCTCAGTCATCAAGGCCATGATGATTGAGAACATCTAAGAAGCTTGGAAAGAACATGAATGGACTTCTTTAAATTTCCTGAACAAGTTTCACCTCTCACCCAAGGGCTTCGGTTTTCAAGTTTTCAGATTTCACTTACTGTAGCTTAAAATGTTAAATGAACTTCTTATATAGTTCTTATTCTACCTAAGCACTCACGCTTTATACAACATGTCTCATTCACCAATTCATATCCATTCATACAAACACTATTTTTGCAATGCTTAAGTGCTTTTTATCTAATATTCACACACACGCACACTCCCATGAACATTTAAATCGAGTTATGCTAATATTATTTATATTTTCCGTTTAACCTGTGCTTTTACATAATGCTCTACTTCTCAATGAAAATAATAAACAGAATACAGTGTTCCCTCGTTTATCGTGGAAGTTACGTTCTAAAAATAACTCACGAAAATTGAAATTCACGAAGTAGCCAGCTTTATTTTTTTATTCTCCATGTTTTAAGGCTGTAAAACCCCTCACTACATACTTTATACACTTTACTCTGACAGGCATGAACATTGTCACACTTTTCTCCTGTTTAAAGACTCTCAAAGTTCGAAACTTTGTGGAAAAATAAGTCCAGTATTACAGAATGAAGCCAAAGATCAAACCCTGTTTTCAGGTCCAGAACATGGGAATAGAGCAGCTGCCAGAGAATTCAACATTAATGAATCAATGGTACGGAAATAGAGGAAGCAAGAACAATGAGTTGAGTAAAGTTTGACTCATCTGACTGTTTTGTTTTGCTTAATGCGCATTATAACCAGGTGCACCTTATGGTCCGAAAAATACGGTAACTTCTACCTTCCTTTAGGATGTCCAGAAGTCCAACTTTTTGTGCGATGGTTAGCATCGTCCTCTGCCTTTTAGGTGCTACCACAGGAGCCTTTGACGGTGCAAAGTGCAGTGAACCGTGTTATAGCGAGGGACCACTGTATGTCAGTGAGCTTTAGATGTACTAACAGGATAGACTCTTTTTCTTTTTTCTTTTTTTTACCTCAGTAGTGCCATGTTTATGCTGAGCTAACCTAACTTGTTTCTGTCTGTGACTTTGTATTCATCAGACATGTATGACAGTTTTCTGTACCACTGATAAAACCTGAACTGAACCAAACTAACACACACATCAGTTTGATTTCACAATTTTTTTTCATATAATTTTTTACTATTATTACATGCTTTTAGGGTTTTTTAGGAGTACTTAAACACACATGCAAGATCAGTATATCTAATCAAGATATGGGTACAACGATCTCTTCCTTATGTAAGGTAAATGCAGCCATGGAGGTGCAGCTGATCGTACTAGCAAAATCAATCCTCAAGGAGGCATCAGCAAAGATGAGCGTCATCAAGACAACTTGGCTTTTCACAACGCTGCTGTGCAAGCAGCAACAGACGCCAGTCTCGAGTTATTGCAGGATCTTCGCTTAGCTGTAGGAGACAGTAACTTTTTGAGGTACTATAATGACACATGAACAAAGTATTTCAGAGTATACTATGAAGTATGAAGTATTTTACTTCAGTATTTCAGTACTCTGGGATTGAAATGAAAACTGAATTTTCTTTTCTCACAGAATGATGGGGATTGCTCGCTCATCTGTCTTGTGCTTCGTAATTGACACAACTGGGAGTATGTCAGATGACATTGAAGAAGCAAGATCAGTTGTTTATCAAATCATTGACGCATACAAAGGAACACAAGACGAGCCCTCCGAGTACATCCTGGTGCCTTTCAATGACCCTGGTATGAACTCCTCTATCCCGTTAATGATATTAGCATTTACTGGTATTTAAACGACCTGTACTAGTTGTATTTAATTTCTGTTTTATGAAACATAAAGTGCATTTGTGATGCAAATCTGCATATTGTCCCAATGTGCTTGTAGACAACCGGCTATATTTAGTCCTCAGGTCAGTCTACATGGTTAGCTCTTTTTTGTTCTTGTATGTAGAGTTTGGACCTATGATCAGGACAACACACGTGGATAAGATGAAAGAAGAAATCTCGAAGCTTACAGCAAGTGGTGGAGGTGATGAACCTGAGATGTGCCTGTCAGGGCTTCAGGTACTACAATCAGTTGTGACATTTTCACTTGTAACTGGGATTTTGGTTAATCAGACAAAAACATTTCAGAAAGATGAAAATGTGGATGCATCGAAGATTTTATGTATACTTTATTTCTCCAGCTTGCTCTGACAGGTGCTCCTTCCTCTTCTGACATCTATGTTTTCACTGATGCTTTAGCAAAAGACATTGAGCTCAAAGACACTATCAATGCTCTCATTAGTAGCACTAAGTCAAAGGTAAATGCAGAATGACACTTCATGATAATCAGTATTCATTAAGCCTACTTAGGCATGGCAGCTGTGGGTATAACTGTGACATTAACTGATCTCCACAGGTGTCGTTCTTCATTACTACACCATTTAGCAGACGCCGTCGTTCCCTCAGAGCTGCTTCCTTTGACGACTACAAAGACATAGCTCTGACCTCTGGAGGCCAGGCCATTCATGTTTCCAAATCAGAGCTTTCTCAAGCCACAGATATTATCCTTGACACCTCAACTTCAGCTCTGGTATGATTCTACAGTTCAGTGAATATAATGAGACTTATATGACTGGACTATTGTTTGAAGAATAGAGATCGCAGAGTAAGTCGCTCATTTTTCCCCCCTTTCCCTCAATTCTGTCAGGTGACAGTTCTTCAGCGAGCAAGAAATCCTGGAACGCAAGAGACCTTCCCCTTCACACTGGATGAGTCATTGAAAAACATCACTATCTACATCACAGGAAGATCCATTACTTTCACGCTGACAAACCCTGCTGGTACCTCTCATTTCCAAACATTTCCGTGCTTCACACAACCAATTTCAACAAATGTAATTGCAAAATACCCATTAGTGATAATGGATGTTAAACATTTTCAGGTGTAACCCAGAGTCAAAGTGAGGCCAGTGGTAAACTGGGCACCATTCAGACTGTGGGCAACTTGCACAGGATTCGCTTCAACTCTGAGAAGCAGGCAGGAAACTGGCAGATCAACATCAACTCCAACCAACCCTACACACTCAAAATCACAGGTAGAATCGGGTATATGTTTATTTACTACAAGTCTTTATTATACAAGTGTCAGAAGTGATTCAGGTTCAATGAGTTTTTGCCGTGTATGTGCATTTCCTGTAAGTCTGTATTTACTGTAAACGCTTGCTTTTCCAGGCCAGAGTACAATTACCTTTATCTATGACTTTGTGGAAAGCTTTGCTGGACCTCACCCAGGTTACGCAGTGCTCAGTGGGCGTCCACAAGAAGGTACAGCACCACAATAAAGCAGTTTTATTCTTTTACGGTTGAAGGTAACTTCATTAACCTGACCTTATATTGCTTTAAGATATTTATTTTCAGTAAAAAAAATGTGCTCCACACCCCACCAATAGAGTAACTTTTGACATTTTAACAGCATTGCACATAACGTATTTATATTACAACACAAGTAACAAGTGTAGTTAATTGATGTGAAGTTTCTGTATTACAAGAGCATCATCTAGTGGTGAAATGTATGACTACGTCACCACTGGCACCTTGTTTAGCTCAAAAGAGGATTTTTAAAGATCTTGTAATAATATTTTATTTTTATCTTTAATATAATTTTGTTTTCCGTTTGCTTTTCCTCACACTTTGATTCTTTTCTTCTTAATTCTGAAAATCCAGGCCAGTCAGCCACACTAATACTGTCAGTTATGGGTAGAAGAGGTCCGTCTTCGATGACTGCTGAACAAGTTAGCCTGGCAAAAGTCTCAGGTCCTGAGAGTTTTAGCAATGGTGTACTAACTCAGATGGACAATGGAGAAATTCTGGTGACTGTTGAGGCTGTCCCTAAAGGCGAGTTTGTGGTCGTTGTAAAAGGAACTGACAAAGTGTCCAACAGTCAATTTCAGAGGCAGTCAAACACCCAAATGTCTCTCTCCAAAGTGAAGATCCAGGTTTGTCTTTTCAATTTCCCCTTTAATGTAAATGTGTTTTGTTTGACTATAATATCAGATACAATGAGTCTAATTCGAATCAAATTCATTCCATAAATAGATACAGAATAATTAAGCATTCACAAGGTACAAGAACGATACCAGTCCTTTTAAGTTGTTGCTTTTCCTTGTCCACTCTAGGCTGTGGTGGACAGCAGTGTGGAGCCAGGACAGACCTTTAAGCTTCCATTCAGTGTGATGACTCAGAGCTCTGGTGGAAAGTATTCCATCAGTGCCAGAAATGACAGAAAATTCCCCATGATTTTCCCAAATGAGTAAGAGGTTCACTGCTAAAATAATACTTTAAATGTTAAATGTTGTAAAGACTGGCACTGATAGTCTGCTAATATTTACAGCATTTTTATATCTTTGAAGCTTAGTTAGCGTAACTTAGACCAAAACACATAAATTGGGTTCACAGCTACCTTATGTCCTGTTTGAGTCTAATTTGTTGGGCCTTTAAAATTATAAAAGGGTTGAGTGACCTGTGTCACCCCAATAATCAGTTGGTATAGAAGGTAAGGGTAAGCAATAGTTGTTATTGCTCCGCCCAAATGTGCTATACAACATTAGGTTTCTGTCACATCTTTAATGCATATAACAAATGTAGCCCCTGTGGTATTATTATATTTTACTCTTGTCTTGACAGACTCACCCTGGTAACTGGGCAATATGCCAATGCTACATTGACCATAACACCACCTGCCAGCACGCAGTCAGGCACTGATGTCACACTGACTATTGACGCACAGTCATCCAATGGCGTTGACTCAAATTATGCTGTTTTGAGATTGTCTGTTGTTACCAAGGTAAGTCAGTGAAATAAGCAAAAGCGCTTCTGAACATATCCACACAAATTGCTGGTAAAGACATGTCCTACTGATCAAAAGCTGAATGTTGACAGTCCTTTCACACATGTCAAACACATCTTTCTTCTTTTCCAGATTACAGATTTTATTCAGCCATTATGTAAAGTGGTTAGCGTGCAGGATAACAAATGCCCTCATGATCTGTCCCAGTGTGGACATTTCCAGTGGGGGCTCTCAGCTAACATTACAGATGGAAACGGAACTGGGATAGAGAGCATTTCCCTCCATCAGGGTAATGGAACCCTCACATACACCTCATTGAGCGCTCCTATCATCGTGGCAAACTACAATGCCTCCTGCTGCTCACAGACTGTTGAAATAATAGCTGTAGATAAAGTTGGCAATGTGGGAAAATGCTACCAATCAATTGCTCGGTCAGGTGTCCCTCCTGCTCTTACTCTGTCGCTGCCACTGTGGATATGCCTGTTGGTATCTGCCTTCTTAGTAAGGCCTTGAAAGACTCAGGTTACATTATGCTAATCTTGTGTCTTTAATCTGCGCCAAATTTAAATCATTTAAAATAATGCACTTCTGCTATAATGTCTATTTTGCTTACTGGTGTTCAGCTTAAATAAAGCTTCTCTCAGCTTTTCCCTTATTTAAAAGGGGCCACCATAAGAGATAGACACTTGGTGGATTTAGCACAGTTTTATGTCAGATAACCTCCTTGAAACAACATTTCCAGGTATTTGTGTCTCCTTCCAGTATCAAATGTTAACCACTAAACTTTGGAGACTACGGAAACTCAGTTTAAATAAAACACTGAAATAAAATTATGAATCTATACTTGTGTGAAAATAAAAAGTCAGTTGTTTTTGAGTGTTTTAAGTAATATTGATTACTTTGAAATCTGTGGGTGAGACTGTTCTTTTTTTTATTGCTTTTGAAATGCAGCATTAAAATATTCACAGATTTTTGTGTCCCAATGCTTTTAGCATAAGTAGGCATAATATTGGTTAAACAATGGGTATGATCCATCCATCCATTCGCTTCCGCTGATCCTTTTCAGGGTCGTGGGGGGGGGGGGGTGCTGGAGCCTATCCCAGCTATCATAGGGCGAGAGGTGGGGGACACCCTGGACAGGTCGCCAGTTTGTCGCAAGGGGGGGGATAGGTGGGTATAGGTTAATTATAGGTATAATTTTTAGTCAGATTTAAAAACATCAGTGAAATATGCTTCATAATGCCTTACAGAAGTCATGTATCGGGGTATAATTCCTTGGGCTAAAAGCTGAAGACTGTACATTGTCCAAATAAATACAATAAACATGTGCTTCCAAAATTTACTGATTGGTGGTGTTTCTTTTTCATCTAAATAATGCTACTTTCTTGGTTTCTGAAATATTAGTGGTGGCCTACTGGCTATACGCAAGAGGGGGCAATGCCCCCCTTAAACAAACGTCATGTCCCATTAAGTCAAACTTTTAGAAGTTTAGAAAGAAAATAATAAATTACCCACAAACTAAATATGGACAAGATTTACTACAGTAGCTGAATAATCCGCTAGAAAAGGCACAAATTAAATGATAGGTTTCACGTCTCATCCGCTCTTTGCCTCCGTGCACTCTTTGTGCGCAGGCTCACAGCACTCGGCAGAGAACTCCCCCTCCCCCAGCTAAACATCCATGCCGCGCATCTTGCCATTGCCTTCAAATTGTGGTTATTATTATGGTTAAGTTAAATCCAATTTATTAACCTACCTCTGAGACGAAGTGCATCTGCAAAGAACGTACTTTCTCCCGTTTGGCAGAGCAGGCAATGAGGTGCGTTTAATGTCTCTGTGTTAATTTGAGTTTCCATGAAATGTATTTGAATAAGGCCCTCCAATTAAGACAGATTTTATGTTGTTGATTTTAAAGATCTGAATGGATATTTTATTTTTTATTTCTATTTTTAAGTTTTATTTTTCAAGACTTTGTGAATTCTCTTTTTTATAACTGGGCCCACCCTTTTTAGTTTTGTTAATATTGGCAATAGTGTGAAGTGTTATTGTTGGTTTCAAATATATTCGACATAGGCTATCCAATTAAGTTAAATGTCATGTTTTAGAATATTTTATTTTATTTTTTGCTTTTCTGTTTTCCCCCTGAGGGATTGCCACCTTAACGTGGTCAGGGGTTTCACACGCGTTAGTGACCATAAAAGCTTGACCAGCAGCAGCTCAGCCTTCAGTTGGGACACCCAAGTTGGTCAGGTCTTTGGGTAGAGGCCTGACAAAGTGCAATCCAATTACCTGACAAAAACAGTTACCCCTCATATATGCCTGTCTAGAAACGGCCCTGAGTGCAGTGTGGACTTATAAGGTGAAGAACAAACAGTGCAAGATCTTTTGCGTATTACCCCCACTGGAGAATATTGGTTTGCATTAGTTGATTTGAAACCATACAGCATAAAGTCAAAGTCATCATTAAACTCCAGGACTGCAAAGCTATTACTTGTGCTACACATTTTTAAATGATCACAAAATAATTTTATAAACAAAATGTTTATTTACATTTCTTTCATTTTAACAGCCAGTACAAACAAACTATGCAACTTGACTTGACAAAAATCAAATCAATGTAAATTCACAGTATGTACAATGAGGTTTAGGGCTGTAAAAGAATGTGTTAATATTGTGTTTGATATTTTTTGGGAAAGTTAGCTTTTCAAACATATCTGAGAAAAATTAGACATTTACACCAAAGTAAAGACATCTTTTTTTTTTTTTTTTTTTTTTTTTAAATACAGCACAATGTTGAACAGAATGAAAATATGTTTAAAAATAAAAAAAGATTCACTTTTAGTCCTCCCTGAATGAGGTGGTTAATTACTGTGCAAGTAATACAATTAGACTTCATTGCCATTTAGACATCAGTAATGACGTGGCATACTGACAGAAATTGAAAGATGGGTAATGGAAATTAGATCGTATTTTCAGTCTCAATTTAATTAAGACATGTTTTAACCTTAGTGCATATTTCAAAATCCAACATCCAAATTCCAACACTGGTCACAAGATGTGCTTTCCAGAGTTATTGTGGAAAGATTATCAAATACTTCTTTTTTAATGATAGGCAAGTGCTTCAATTTTTGTAACTGTATATATGAAAACAACATCAATAAATTACCAATTAAAAAAACTAACAAAACATCTGTTTTTAATGTGTTCAGTTGACAATATTTAAAAACGAATGCAAGTGTATTATGGCGAACTCATTACAAAATGAGAAAAGAAAAAGATGACAGCTTTAAAATGCCACTAGGACACTAAAGTCCATGTCCAAAACAAAAGCATTATGTATGCCACAAAGGCTTACTTGAGTTGAAGCCAAATTTACCTTAACAATTTTCCCTAAACTAACTCAGGTACAACATTCGGGAAGAAATACCATGCCAAACTGGGGTTATGCTCTCACACATCTTGTGACATCACCTACTGAATCAAAAAGTATGAGAAAAGGATACCTGCATATTCTGACAAACCAACTTAAATTTAAAGATGTATATTTCTGAAAAACCTCAATCTCCATCTATATTACACTTTACTTTGCAGAGAGCACACACTGCCATACAGAACATTTTAAAAAGAAAAAAAAATAAAGTTCAACACTCTGGAAAGTTTCCTCATCTGCTTGCAAGTGAGGAGGAACAAAAGTGTAGCTAGTATAAAGAACAACTGTCACTAATCATTATGTTGCATCACTTTAAAGTACAATTTGTGATTTTGGGGAGATTTACTTGTCTAGCCTGTCTATATTGCATCGTTTTTATTTTCAACAGTACCAAGTGGCACGCATGTTCGTCTGTTGGCTTTAGTTAAGTTGCTTCCGTTCTTTAAGACAGATGGATGGATTTCCAACAAAGCAGCAAATGAGTACAAATTCCCAAACTCTCGAACCATTCTACAAAGATACAAAATAATTATCTCAAAAAGGCAAAATAAGTAAATTCTCCATTTGCATATAAATTCCATTATAAAAACCAAACAAACAAAAACCCGCTCCACAACATGCATTTTCTGAATTACAAGAATGTATATTTCCTATTTCAAAGCATACCATTGTTCCAAGGTGAACATGGTTTCTTACATGTCCATCTCTCACGGACCACCATGTACATTTTTAACATGTTTTTTTAGGTGACCCGTCTGCGTGAATTTCTTTGAACAGTGTGGACAGGCATGTGGTTTCTCCCCTGTATGGGTGTATTTGTGCCTTTTAAGGTTATTGTAGTCTAAAAATCCTTTTCCACAGAATGGACACCAGTGTCTTTTCTCTCCATTATGCCATCGCAAATGCACATTCAGTTCTACTCTTCTTATGAATTTCCTTTCACAGAGGGTACACTGAAATGGTTTCTCTCCAGTGTGGATCCTAATATGTACTTCTACGTCTCGTTTTGTGAAGAATCCTTTTTTGCAGATCTGGCAAATGAAAGGTCTTATCCTGCCATGCACCATTTGTATGTGTTTTGTAAGGCCAAAGCGGTAGACAAATCCCTTCCCGCAATGCTGGCAGATATGTATCCGACCATTACGGTGCACCCGGCCGTGGCGTTTAAAGCTCTTGGAGTCTGGGAAATTCTTCCCACAGAATGTGCATGAGAAGGGCCTGTGTCCCGTATGAAGACTAACGTGGCTTTCCAGTGCAGCACTGCTGCTAAGAATTCGACCACATTCCCCACACTGGTTCCTTAGCAGATGCCTACCTATGACTGACAAAGGCTGTAGAGGTGATACAATTGGTGACGTAACAAATTTGGGTTGGGGTGAATCAGGGGAGCCTCTGGGGTTTTGATTATCAGATCCCGTCTCCGTCTTTACGTTTAACAAAGACGACTCCTTTTCCCCAGGTGGAGCCATTTCACTTTCTGTCATGACAGGAGGTATCCACACTTTAGCTCGACATTTTTTCCCAACCCCACAGTTGGTCCGACTCTCTGATAACAGACTTTTTGCCAATTTAGATTTGTTAGACTTTTTCATTGAAGCAATTTTTTTAGCTTTTGCTGCTTTAGCTAACTTCATAGCATTAACAACTTTAAAACCCCTTTTAGGACCAGTAACATCTTGGATTAGTCTGGGCTTCTTAGCAGGTGTAGATTCCTCAGTCCTTGTAGGACTGATGCAATTTTTAGCTATTGTAGGGGACTTGACACTTGGGGAACAAGTTTCACCTTTATTTCTTCTAGTAATAGCGCCACCTGTGGTTATACCAAAAGATCTTAATTCCCTTTTAATCCTTTTTGTCCTTGAGTCATCCTTGCTGAAAAGTGAACTCCTACGGATGCCAGACTGCCTCAAACTAGGTGTTCTTGGACTAACAGAAGGCAAGTCAGTCTTTTTAGGACTAGTGCTTCCTCTGGTTGACATTACAAGGCTTACAGAACTTGATTTTTCATTTATAGGGGTTGTATCATTGTTAGTCATTTTGGGGCTACCACTTTCTTTAGTTGAGCTAGGACTTCTAGAACTCAAAGAACCTTTTCTACCTGAAGGCGACCTCCTCGGACTTAAAGAACTGGATTTTTTATATCTAGGACTATCCCTACCCAAAGACCTCCTAGGAGTCACTGAAGTCATTTCAGGACTAGCAATTTCTTCATTTAAATTACCCTCTCTAGGACTCACAGATGTGGATTTTTTATTATCTGTGCCTAAACCATCTCTATGTGTACTGTCCGCCTTAGGAGTCATGGTGGTGGAATCACTGTTAGCCCTGCTCTTCTTAGAAGTTGGCTCATTATCAATCATCTTGGGTAAATCACCACCATTACACAGTACAGATCTTACAGGACTGATGGAAGATGGGGCATTATTAATTAGAGCTGTATTATCTTTAACCACATCTCTCCTTCCAAGGCAAACAGGACTGGTTTCCTTAGTTGACTTTTCATCGTTAAGACTGCCATTCTCTATTCCAAGTTTCTTAGAGATGAGAGTGGTAGTCTCACTTTCTGAATTCTGTTCCAGACTTTTTTCAGTTCTTTTAACTTGCAAGTGAGTTTTCAGATGACTTCGCAGCCGAACGACCAAGGAGTTTTTCTGTAAGC